AGTTAGGTGTAGTCAGAGTCATGAAAAATTGAAATTTCAGATTATTTTTGCAATAGGACAAAAAATTATAACTTTTTTATATTAACAAAATGCCGGCCTTAGGATAAAACTTTCCAGCTTTTCGTGAAAACCTAACAAGCAATTGTTAATTAAAAAAATGGTGGTTAAAAAATCTACCGAGCTGTTTTCCAGGTATTCTGCCGAAAAATTACGAAATGAGATCGTGCCTATAATTGTCGAAAAGTGCCCAAAATAATAATTTAGAGCACATGCATTCGGTCGGCTGAACATTTAAGAAATATTTTTATATCGCATGTGTGAGTGGTTATTCTTAAGTTTATATATTACATAGTATGTGTGTATATCTATATTATGGTAGGTGTTGTTATATAATATATACTCGTATATATTAGATGACAGATATAAATACATACTTGCCCATACACATTTTGGTTATACTTTGGCTGTATCTTATCATATGTATATATGTACATAATATTGATTTTATAATATTTTTGACTTCTATGTATATATGTATTTCATTATGCGAAAGTATTTACAACGGCTCCAATGGCATTGCACGAAAAATGTGATGTACATCCTGTGTATGTTCGCTGGGGATTACGCACGTGTCCATCTTAAATTGGTTTTTGTTAATCGTTTACTGTCTGAGCATTGAAATTATTGTTGAATGTGCTAAAACTTATCACCGTTATTGTTTTTGTTTGTGTATTTTTATGCTGTTTATAATTATCCCAAACAATAATATAATAAGTAAGGAAGCTCTAAGTTCGGGTGCAACCGAACCTTTTATACTCTTGCAACTTTCAGGAATCAAAGCAAGGGAAACACCTTCAGATGTAAGACGTCAACCTCTGGATCGAAATCCAAGCAATTTTATATACATATGTATGTACATATATATACTATACATACACATATAACTCATATACTGAGAGACACATAATGTTTGTTAGAAAAACGAAAACCATTATAAGTAGTATATGGAAGTTGGGGTAGTATCGATCACATTTTATCTATTGTTCCCAATACCACAAACTGTTAACATGTCACATACTAAAAAATTAATCATATAGAGAAAAGTCAGTCGGATGTTCGAAAATCCTGATATTACTAATATGGGGGAAGTCAAGTTTTCACTCAAATTTATTAATGCACTCATGTTCATTCAGATAACTTGCCGATATATGCGGTAAAAATTCACCCGGAATTACGATTATCTTTATATTAGATATATGGGAACTAAGGGAAGTATTGGCCCAATTCAACCCATTTTCACCCAGATATCTTCTAAGTCAGCTATAGATACCGGGGTCTAAATTATCGGTACCTAGCGGCGTGAACAGTTTTTGTTGGATTTGAACAATTTTTGGTCAGAAGGTGTTATATTTGCATTCGTGCCAACTATAATCCCGTCATATTAATTTCTTCTTGATTTGTGTACTGGAAACTGAACGAGTTACATGGAAGAATTTAAAATTGTGCTGTTTGGGTAGTAGGCGTGGTTATTGTTCGTTCATTTTCATAACGCGACATAAGAATATGAAAAAAATGCCTCGTACCAAATTTTGTCGAAATTGGTTGGTGGATCTCGAGGTATGGGATTTCACCAAAAAGTGGGCGTTGCAACGCCTATCGTCCAATTTTCATACCGGCTCCCATTAAGCTTTCTTATACTATCCCGGTGAAAAATGTTTACGTCTCTGACACAGTCGTTTATTGATTTATCGCGCATTTAGTGGTTTTGAACAGTACCGTTATATAAGTGGGGTTTTCCTCCAATTTCATCCATTTTCGCACCGTGCTGTGTAAGATTTGTACTCAGCAAATTTTGCTTGTTGTAGCTTAAGCCGTTTAGGGGATATGGACATTATTTTTCCCACATACATATGTGCCAAATAAGAATTTCATATCTTAATTAGGTGCTTAGTTATGGCACTTTATAGGTTGTCGGTTAATTGCGATTTGTGGGTGTGTCAGTGGTCCGATGACGCCCATCTTCGAACTCGAACCATTTTTGTACTAAGAAACCTGCATACCAAGTTTCATCAAGATATCTAAATTTTTACTCAAGTCAAAGCGTGCACAAACGGATGGACAGACTATCTATATCTATCTCGATTAGTTTTAGATGATGCTTACAACCATTAGGAGAACAAAACTATAATGACTTCTTTTTATTCCCACACGATTTTCGTCGCCAGAAAATGCTGTTAAAGCATTCAAAAACCATGTTTTGGAGGTGTCTCAATCGGAGTGGGAAAAATGCTTCGAAAATTGGTTTGAGCGCATGCAAAAGTGTATAAATCTTGATGGAGAATATTTTGAAAAACAATAAAACGAATTAATAAAAACAAGAAAATTGGGGCTACTTTGAGGTGTAACTGATCATTTTAGGATTTGCGAGAATCGAAATTTGGTGTAGTCAAAACTTTTTATTAAACAAGTAAGGAAGAGGTTTGTTCGGGTGGAACCGAACATTTACTTTTGCAACTTGCAAAAATTCGAATCGAAAATCTTTATATTAGGTATATGAGGCTTAGGGAAGTGTTGGGCCAATTCGACCAATTTTTGGCATACGGACATACCATTATCAGAATGGGATTATCCTTGAATTATGTATCTCACACATTGACCGATAATTTCGGTCAGAAGTCATCTATTAAAACTGGTGTCCACATATTCGGTACCTATGGTCTTGAACAGTTTTGGTTAGTTTTAGACAATTTTTGGTCAAAAGGTGCCCTACTTTAAGGCAGTTACTATTGTAAAATTTTATTCCGTTTTATTAATGGCTTCTTAATGTGTGTACTGGAAAGTTAAATGGAAATGGAATTTTAAATTGTGTTATAGGAGAAGTAGATGTGGTTGTAGTATACGTAGTAAATTTAGTCGAAACCGGTTGGTCCTGAGATATGGGATTTCATTAAGAAGTGGGCGGTGCCAGGCCCAATGTTAAATTTTCACATCAGTTCTCATAAAGCCATCTCATACCATTTCGGAGGTAAAATTTAATGTCTCTGGCATAATTAGTTACGGATTTATTACGCTTTTAGTAGTTTTGAACAGTACCGTTATATGGGGAGTGAGCGGGGTTATCCTCCGATTTCATCCATTTTCGCACTGTGCTGTGTGCTCAGCTAATTTGGTTGTTCAATTCAACATTCATTCATTCAAAACCGTGGGTTATATGCGTATATATTATTGTTTGTAGCTTTTAGGTCGCATTATCGCTTAGTTTAATTACTCCTTGCTTCTTATCTGAAATATTTACATTAAACTTAAACTACTTAACTTAAATAAGATATAATATAGTATATATGATATCAACTCAACCAAACAGCCAAGTTTTGTATTTTTGGTATATGAGAAAAAAATTCAAACAGTGAGACGAAAATCCTTATATGTGACCTAGTCTACGAAAAGGGAGCTAACGTGCGAAAACTAGTTTTCTGGGAAACAGCTGTTAAAAAAAAAGCGTCTCATCTTCCATCCGAATCAAATAAAAAGTGAAAATTGATTTTTTGACACCTAAGCGCCCTTTCTGTAGACCAGGTCACGTATTAAGTATGTTAAGTATAGACCAATGGCTAAAGCATATCTACTTAAATTCATTAAAATATCACAGATTTTAATCAATATAAACGGTAAGTGAGAGGAAGGTCGGAAATCACTCAAATATATTGGGGTTAGGGAAGGTCTGGACTGATAGCATATTTCTCAAGTACTATATATTCGAGATGAAGTTTCATATCAAATTTATCGAAACTCAGACATTGCCCTACATATTCGGCACAAAGTCTGCGAGATTAACGACAATTACTATATATGGAAGCTGGGGCAAAGCTTTATTCGGGTACCTTCATTGGTTTTTGATTAATGAGCTCTAAAGTAAAATAATAAGGGGAAATTAAAATGGTGATATATGAGAATTAGGTGTAGTTGCATCTCTAAGTTTTACATCCATTTCAAGGATAGAAAATTAAAGGCTTCTGACGTATTTAATAGTGAGTTATCGCAGTTTTAGGTGTTTTGATTATATACAATATGTATATAAATATATATGTATAACCGGTATATGTGAGGTTTTCGTCTTTATCATCTGATTTCAACAATTTTTACTATATATGAGCTCATATAAAACTTACTAAGGGTGGGGTAACTCCTACTGCTTATAAAGTTGCAAATCAGCAATGGCCGCCATACTTGTATTACGGCATTTTATGTGCAGAGGAATGGTGGAATTTCGCCCATTTGAAATACATACTTCCCAAGGGTGGCAAGGATTACATTGACCAAGTTTCATCGCATCTTAATTTTACATAACATATCACTTGTACGTACAAACAGACTGACAACTTTCGTCTGTAATCTCTACATAATATATAACTCTACATTTGTCTCGATTAGTCTTATGTGTTACAAACACATTACCTGTACACAGCGATTATATAGTACATTGTGCAACATGTTGCGATAGTATAATTAATTACTAATACGTCTTTTATATACTGATGGTACGAATAATAATAAAATGTTTGCATTACCTTTCCTTTTTATTTGTATATTTTTTGATTGATTATTATTGAAAGATAAACAAAATATATAAATAAATTTTACAACATACTTCTTATGTATTTTTTTTTTTTTTTTGCATTACTAATCGCTTTCGTCACGGTGTGAATGTGTAATTATTTGCGTTTTTTAAGCATTTGTTTATTTTTTTGTTTTTATACGACAATATTCCGATATTAGCTACTTCTAACAACAATAATATTTATTACTATTCAACACATACAATTTCTACTTGTATCTTATCTTTTTCTCTCCCTACTCGCTTTTGAATATACCAACAATTTCAATGTTGGGATAAATATGATTGTGTTACGTCCGTGATCATACTCCCATTCACAATCACGTCCATACATATGCTCAATCCAATGCACGGTGCGAGTGATATGTGTCTTCGTTCCAATACATTTGTGTGCTATTTACCAACGGCTCATCACCATATACAACCAATCAATAATACGGCCGACTGTAAACATCACCACCAATCCTACTTCCTTTTATTTTTCTCCATCTTTCGAAATTCCTTTTTTTGTACTTTCATTTTCTATATATATCTGGGAAAATTAGATTCGCGTGGTCAACGCATTTCGTCAAGGACTTGATGGCCGTTACGGTGAACACACCAACACTTCCTTAGCTGAAGTGTTACGCAAGCAATCTTCTTTGAGCAAACGTCTGTCAGAGACTTCATCCATAGAATATGCCGATAATATACCTGATGAATTGACTATACCAGAAATAGATGTGGAGCGACTATCTTCGCACAGCCACACAGAGACAGCAGTTTAAGCGAGCAACAAGCCAACACTCATACTGATGACAGTGTAAATGGAAAAGGCAGAAATTACACAAACAACAACAGCAAAAGAAGCAAAGACCTAATAATAGTACCGAACAGCATGGCAAGTGGAATATATACATATAAGCAGAGAATAAATTTAATTGAGTTAACAAAATTTTAGTTTGTGGTCGGAAAACCTAAATATATAAAAAGAGTGTAAGTGGCCATTATGAATATATCAGCTAAATGTTAAGAAAATTGTTTTTAAATTCTCAGTTGAAACTTCATTCACGAATATTTGACCTTAAAAATCTAGCAAAATATGCTGTAATGTAATAAAGTAAAATTAACTAATTACAATTAAAATTAAACAAAATAAAAGCAAGACAAATTAATCATGCTAAACTCGATAATATGAGTTATACCAATATACATATATAAAAATTACACATATACATATAATAAATTTATTACAAATTATATAAATTGCAAAAAATGTAATTAAATACTTAGTTTAAATAAATTAAACTTAAACAATCATAAATAAATACATAAATCATAACAACATAATATAAGAACTATAATAGCAATGATATTAAATAATAACTGTAGCAGCCACGACATAATATGAAGACTTAATGCGCATAGTAGTGTAAAAAGAAATTATAATCTTTGTACTATCCTTATTCGATGACTTAACCAAAATTGAAGCATTAAGTTGTTCTTTGCAGTTTTTTTGTAATGATATCGAGAATAATGCCTAAACAAACAGTATGTATGTTTACATGTAAATAATTTGTAATTTCGAAATCGGTAGTCCGTTCTATACATATTTTTGAAACATATTACAAATATGCAAAAACTCTTAATAAACTTATGAATTATATTAAAATGTATACGTATTGTGTATATTTACATTATTATGCATTATTATTTTATTTTGGACTCACCTAACTGCTATTATAATATTAAATACTTATGTACATATGTACGAGCCCTGTGCTTTGTTAGTACATAACAATTTTACATAGAATTTCGTTCAGCTGCCAATAAACAATAATTTACTCCTAAGTCTAAACGTTATTTTATGAAAAATAATAAATAAAAAAAATTGAAGAGTGCATGGAAAATTTTGTCTTCATTTTCAGTACCTCACAAATGAATAAAGTTTTATGCAATAATAGGCATGTTGAAGAATGCTGGCATGGAAATGAAAGTAATTCAATTTTGAAAACATATGTATATAAAGAGTTTTTTTATAGTTTGGTTTTCAAGAAGAAATAATGTGAAATAATTTTATGTTATGACTAAAAATTTAGCTTTATTATAAATCTAGAGGATCCAGTTTACGTTCCGCTGTGGCTTACATTTATTAAAAATTATTCAATACAATAAAATTGTACTTACGAATAAAAATTAAAACTTTATTTCCGGTGTAAGAGAAATGTGGATTAGTTCCAATTTTGAAAATGCTTCATATTAATTTGTTGATTAGATTTTTTAATTTATTAATTTTATATTCAAGTTTGTTTAGCAAGAGGACCATTTCTTTACTTACTTTTCCAGCCAAAATGGTTGCTACAGTAATATTTCCTGTAATCTTTTTCATTAGCAAAAATGTATCCTTTCATAATAGTGGTGTATTAAAAATACGCTGAATAATATTAGTTAAACAATTTTTAATCGAAGATTACGTAATGTAATTCCGGTTTTATCTACATAGCTAATTTACGTATTAATTTTCATTAACAATAGTAGCCAATGTTTTAAAATACATCTGATAGCCTGGCAATAACTGATGTGACTGAACATTAATTTCGTGAACTTATACATTTTTGTGCCCGCCCGATTACTGCGCTAGTTATGATTCAAACATTTCATTTTTACTTTCAGGAATATACTCTCATTTAATATATATTTTTTCGTAAATAAGAATACAGAAATTTTAAGGCAGTATATAACACTGCGTATATGGTTGCAGTTCTATTCTACCATTCCCAATATCTTGAAATTGTATGATGTACTTCTGAGGGAAGATTAGTTTGCAAATATTTGCACATATTTATGGTCAATTGGAGTGGCTCAATATCATACAAACGATTTCTTAAAATATTAGTTAATATCATCAAAGAATAACCGGGCTGCCGGCAGTCTTCAGACAGTGATAAGACAGGACCACCGAAAACTTTATAGTTGTCGTTTAAATCTTACATTGTTCAGTGCAATGTTTCGAAAATATTTGTGTGCCATTATGCATTCACCTAATTATAATTGAACTTTTTACCAACACTGCAATTTCGATATTTTTTATGTTAGATATTGCTTTTGGTTTATTATGAATATCTATGCGTCGTTCGCTCACCATCTAACAAAATAGTCGCAATGTCTTAGCGATGCAACTATCAATGCTATTTTCTGTTGTGATATATTGAACACATCGCACACTAACTACAGAAGAGTTGAAAAAAACAGTGACTGTAAAAGTTATTGAAATTTTACAGTCAAATCCTCGTTCATAACGTAGAATACTTCCTTTTAAGAGTATTTTACGCAAATATTATAGATTTTACAGTTTAACGGAGAAATTAAAACATTTTTGAGTAAGGACATCATAATGATTATTATTTCATCGAAACACATTTTTATTAATAATGCAGATGATTAAACTCACGTTTTTTCATATAAAGCAACACAACTTCGCTGAATACAACAGAAATTTATTAATTTCAGCACATGCGACACATCAACAAATAGTATTTATTACTTTATACTGTCCAAGCGAGGCAAACGACTCAAACCGTGATTTTCCAGTAAAGTAAGATAGTGATGAAAATGAAATTTCCTGGGTAAGTGTATTACGAGTTGATATATTAAAAGAATTTTGAAAATAATCATTGACTCTTGTAAGAGACTTTGATTTTAAACATAAAGAGATAAAAAAAATATCCTTTGTTTGTAGCCTGGCTGTAAGCCTAGTACTCCACAAATTTTCATTTAAATTGGTTCAGCCGTTCTTGAGTTATACAAGTAAATATTATAACTAATACGACTTTCTTTTTTACATGTACACATGGCCATTGAACAAATATCATATTTTTTCATTGTGTCGAAAGTGTCAAAATTAGCACCGTGATGATTTGCGGAAAGCATTAATTTTTTCATATGAAGAAAACTGCAGCAGAGTCCCATCGAATACTTGCCGAGGCATTTGGTAATCATGCCCAATCACAAGCAACATGCAAAGGATGTTTCCCACGTTTCAGAGATAATGACCCCCACCCGCCGTATTCAGCAAACTTAGCCCCGTGCGATTTAAACTTGTTTTCATCAATGGGATATGCATTGGCTGTGCAGTATTTCGATTTCTACGCAGAAGTCGAAAAATGGTTGTCTGGTTTGCTTCAAAAAACGTAAATTACTAGTTGCATTTTTTTACCCTCCCTTTTAATATTAGTATTTTACTTACCAAAAAAACGTTCATTTCATACTGGTACTTTTATATTTATTTTTATTAATTCTGTTAATTAAATATTTTGGATATGGTGTAGAAAATACTTTGAAATTTGCTATTCAAAATAATCAGCCCTTTCTTACCAGCGAACATTCGTCTGAAGTCTATGGATCGCCGGTGGCCAAATCCGTTTTCATTGATTTGCTATTATCAAGGATCATCGAAAACAGTTTCTAGTTTTTTTACTTTTAACACCAAAGGTCCACTGCCTTCATCGTATTCGGTGTTTATATGGCCTGTATGTAATGTTGCCAACAACTTCAAAAACTTGCCACATGCGAGTCGTCCATCCACTTCTGTTAATTATGATAACATTGTCAAGATAGCAGAGTAACCTCTCTTATAGATTGACTCAATATATTTTGGTTATTGTTTTAGGTAGCAAGAAACCTAGGTTTATGATTATGACGTCGAAATTGTCAAAATCATGACGCTTTAAAAATGAGCCGAAACCGGAAACAAACAAAATTCTCTATAGGCAATGGAAGCCATCCTAACCGAGTCTTAGCTCAGCCTGGGCCAAATTGATCCCAAGGTATAAATACTCGTATATACATTATTTTAATTTAGCTACCAGATGTATCCAATTTATAAGCAAAGCTCAAACTATGTTCCCATATGGTAGTTTCTATTATACTACGTATACATACATAATAATATATATCGTTCTTCTCCTGTATGAAAGGTGATGTTATAAGAGTTCTATTCGAAAGGGTGGGATAAAGCCAACTTGCTACAAATTAGTACAATCGCCTGTAACTGCTACGCCGTGAGAGTGAAGTCAGCAGTGCACAGTGGTCCGGCTTGTATGGGGTCGCGGCCATAAATGGTTCTAATGGTAGTAGAGAGCTGAAGCAAGACAAGGCTTAACAAAGAAATTTAGATAATGTGGTAAAAATTTCAATACCAGGGGTCGACCAGGTGCTAAATAAATTAGAGTTTTGTTTATTTTAACTTTAAAAGGTGCCTAAAAGTATGCTATTAAAAGTGATTGGCCGATTTCACCATAAAAAAACACAAGTTTTTACTATTTTTTTTTTTATTATATTTTATAATAGTTAAATCTTATA